ATAAAATTATGGGAGGACTGCTGAGGCCACCGGGCGGCATTGTCCACGTGCCATCATTGGCCGCAGCTGGCGGCTTCTGGCCACGCGGGTATGGCACGCCCACCACAAAGTCGGTGAAGACCTGAGAAGTATGCCGGTTCAGTGCTTCAAGACTCAGTGCCGTTTCTTAAGACAATGGCAGGACAAGAAACCATCACGATAATCTTTGATGACGTTGGGATGTGAGTCTGTTATCAAAACGCGTTGAGGCAAGGTACCACGGAGATGTTCAGGGCGTCCACGCTTTGAGGCACGCTGAGCCTGAGCCGCCGCAGAAACCATGAGACGCAAAGGACAATTCAACTCCAAGCGAGCGTGATGGCCCAGAAATGTAGAGGTCACCACACGAAGACCGAACAGTGGAAATGTTAGGGAGCAGGACATCTAACTACGACCAAGGTTGCAGACTTTGGCTCAAGAATCAAGAATATCACCAGATCCTTCGAGTAGTGGTAGGACTGATACAGAAAGACTCTACAGGAACCTGTTCCACCCTGGTTGGGAGCGACAACTCGGACAGAATCACGAAGGAGTCAAGAGTGCGCTTGAACGTTATGTCCGAAGTTGCCTATAACATGTCCACGGACACCATAGAACTCGAGGCTTCTGGACAGGAACGCACCCGCAGGAAGCTGCCACCCCAGTTGTGACCAAGCAACGCAAAAACACAAGCTGAAAGGGACAGCTGACCACAGAATCTCAGGTACTCCCTCCAGGCCCTCTGTATGGGCAGGACTTTTCCGACCCAGCTGAATCCTCCTGGCGAGGGGCTGACTTCCCGACAATGCCCCCCAGGAGATGCAACGGCGGAAGGTGCCCACGGGATCCTGAGGGCTTGAGGGTTGAAGGGTTTAAGTTTGCGAGTAAAGAATATCAAGCACGAGCTTTGCGGTGCAGGGTGCTTCAGGTTGGCGCTCAGGAGGCGATCAGTGGTACATGTGCCCCGTATGGGGGGGTGGGACTTCAGGGTGGCAACGATGCATCATGCTTTTCGGGCTTGCTGAGGGTGCAAGACTCGGGCTGAAGTGCAAGAGTTTGGCTGTTTGGGATGCCTGGACTCCCAGTGCAGTGGCCAGCTCAAGTCCTAGGGACAACCAGCCGCAGAAGCGGTGGAACTTTCCGGTGTCGAGGTGCTGTTATACGGACCAGCAGCGGCACTTTGCGCCTGGCTTGCCGTTCCAGGCTTAAGGTTCGAGGTTGTTCAAGGAGCTCAAGACGGTAGAGGGACTGCAAGCTAAGCCCGAGAGAGATAGATGACTAGAGCAGGATGTTTGGCTTACCTTGCAAGCTCAGGCCCTGTCAGGAACCACGTTTTCGGCATTTTTGCCCTTCAAACAAAACATGCAGCAAACTGGGCCGGAAGCCCTAAGTGCCCCGTTTCCCTGATGGGGAGCCCTGATGGGGAGTCCTCGTGCACTGTACACTGTACATGAATTACTCCAAGAGCACGACAAGAAGTAGAGGCGACAACGCCTCGTTTGCTTTCCCAACTACACACACTAGCCTGTCACAACGATACTTGGAGCTCCAGGTAATTATGACCCAAGTTTAACCCAATTATCATACACTAGGGGACTTAGAGGGCTTTTAATTGGGCTATAGCTACAGCTAGAATTGGGTTGTAATTGCCATGGACCTCCAAGTAGGAAAATGAAGGGAAGCCCTGCAGGTTCGTGAGGTGCGAGACAGCTTGGGACAAAAGGGCGTTGGGCTCCGAAACAACCCACATGAGCCATAGTCTAAATAAACTCCCCCTTTTAGTAGTTTTGTAGTAGTCCCTATAAAATCTCCTACCTATATACCTCCCCTTTAAGGCGTTTAGACTGTCAATAATGACTCCCGAAAGTCGCTGCCCGCAATCACCGTTTCCCCCAGTACTAATACACTTTAGGATTGCAGTTCATTTGTACAAAATCAAAGTCCCCATCGCTGAACCGAACCGGAGAAAAGAAGAACCAAGACAGAACCGGAACAGGTTCTGTTAGGCTTCGGTTCCTGCGAAACAAGACTGCATGTGCATCTGTAAGCGCACGTAGTTGTAGGAACGCTCCAAGCTCGCGCCTTCTCAGGACTCGGAACCCCAGCACCCCAAGCCATCTTCAACCCAGTCCCCTTTCGCCTGGGAGCGAAGCGGATTGAGTAGGTCGTGGCCGGAAGGCTGGGTCGCCGGCCCTGGACGCTGATGTTCACCTTGAGAGGAGCTCAGATCGTGATGACGCATTGGTTTAGGGTACACGTATCCGCCTTCACCTGCAGTCGAAGTCTTTTGGGCGCATTGCAAGGTGGTGCCTACAATGTGTTTTGACAATGAGCAGGTACAGAAGTCAGATCGGATTGGAACAGTCTGCAGTGCTGCTAGAAAGAATAGGGTTGGCGCAAAGCCCTCGAGCGGCAATTAGCCTCCGACTGTACTTGACAATACAGTTGAGAATGCAGGCATAACGGGGCACCTTGCATGCTGGACACAGATGTGCCTCACCCGCATTCTAAAGCCTGCGGACCAGCAGCAACTCGAGGCACCGGCATCGTTTGCAGCCAGACACTCGAGGTAGCACCAGTCTTGGTGTCCTCTGCGTAGGAGCCCCAGGTCCATCCCAACACTGCTGCTCCCTACTGATAAAATCACGAACTATCTTTCGACATCTACTCTACATGCCTGCATCCAGACCGGGTCTTTCATGCAAGAACATCAAAAGCATCTGATACGTGCCAAAAAAATGAAGAATGAAAGGGCTCGCTGAGCCGTAGTGCAAAAAGCCCCAGACTCCTCCTGCCGGGTCAAGGCGGAGGGGTGGAATTGGAGCCAACGGGCTGAGGGAGCCATGGCCGTCACGTGGGCCTGGCTGTAGGCAACCTCAGCAGCCGCAAACAGCAACAACATGTCGCACAGGCCCTTCCTGCGGGTCGCGTTTTAGGGCCAAACCCTGGTTCGCAAAGATTAGCTCCGAATGGCAATTCGGCTGTTGTGGAACCTTCCGGTGAACAAAGGTCGAGGCGCGTCGAGGTCGAGCACGTAGCGATCCTGCCAGGGCGCAAACTCGAGGTCGTCGCTTGCTCCTGCTGCAGCTTGTGGGACAGAATTCCTCGCCAAGTCTGCATCGGCACCGAAGCCCGTGCTCTCCTGCCACCTCCAGCATGGAGAGTCCCGCGCGCGAGCACGCGTAGCCAGCACCCTGCAAGCCTCAGTCGCCGACTGATAAGTGTTGTGCAAGCATCGCCAGAGCTGGTTGCTGGTCCAGACGCAAGCAACGGCAGCGACAACGAGCAGTGCACATGCACAGCTGGGGAGCACCATGAAGCCTCGCAGTTGTGATGTCTTCTGCGCAGTGATGCTCGTGGCTGTCTGAGGACCCAACCTGCTGGGGAGCCCGTCCGCTCATAGACGGCGCCACGCTGCCAGGCGACGTCACGGAAGATGTTGAAGTCGCGGCCTGCTGTTAACAACGATCAATCTGAGCAATCCGAGAACAGACCTGAAGGGACCAGGGACGCAGTTATCGCTTTGCACTCGTGCTGTATTGCAAGAACGTGCTCTGCAGATTTGAATGGCACACAGACGAGCAAGACTGCCGCACCGCTGCTGCAGGTGAATCATGGACTGGGAAACCCAATGCCCAAAGACTTCCTAAGTTGAACGCCGGCCATCATGGCGCCCATTTGATGTCTACAAGCCCGCACGAAACCCACTGTGTGGCATGAAGCAGAATGTTTCATTTTCGTATCTCTGGAAAGACACCATGGATGCAGCTGCTTCTAGAATCCAGGAAGCCTAAGAAGGCCTCCTTGCACTGGTGGCAGGCGGCCCTTGAAAATTTCAGGCTGGCTGCTCCCGGATTTGACGGCCTGCAGCGCCCGCGCCGGGTCCAGCGTCCGCCGGGCCAGCCTGAGGCCCCGAATCCAAAACAGTTCAGCCGAGGACTTACTAGGAGGGGGACGGGAGGTGCCAGTCTCTTCAGTGGACAATGAATTTTCCTGACAATAGACTCAAAGGGAGGCACAGCTAAGGCGTTCCAGTCTAAGTCCCTCCGTGGAATCCCTGGCCAAAGTTGTGACTTAGCGAGTCCATCTTACGGATGATTTTAACCCAATCCCAACACCCGAACTGGCCTTCGTTCCTTTGATGAGGTCTGCCCAGCGGATGAAGCTCCACTTCGTCTCCTGCATGCGGGAGGATGGTAGAAAACAGAAGATAAGCATCCAGTCGGAGGGTGTCCTGCTCGTGTGGGCTAGCCATTTTGGCAAAGTCCGCTGCCTGCGGCCAGGGATGGATTCATCATGGCCCTCAGGCTCAGTTGGCCATTCCACCTTCGTGGCAGGGCGAGCACGTAGCCCTTGCTGCGAACGAACATGGCTGAAAACAAGTGTGCTCAACGAGCCTATGCCAATGCAAGCCGTAAACAACCTTTACTACATGTCAAAGCTGCATCTGCGATCTACACAAGATGATCTGCCAGGAACAGAGTCCCCAGAAAGGCAGCAAGCAGCAAGGCCAATGGGAGGCAAGGAAAGTCACTATTGCGAGGGTCCGTGGAGGGACATCGGGCAGCATACGCTCCTTCTGTTACAGAGGGCCCAATGTTGTTGAGGAAGTCAGGTCCCATTTCATACCTTGACTTAGCCCAAGCAAAAAAGTTCTCGACTTCATGCCTCACATCCGACACGTTACCCTGCCTTTAGCTGCAATTGCTGAGCCATCTGCTCTTCCTCCTTTGCAACACGTAAGGCCTTGAGCAGACCCCTTGGCTTGCGGCAACTGCGAAAGCACGGGCACAGCTCGTCCCACATTCCAGCACCAAGGTGATGCATACTTGGAGGTCCATGGTATCATTATAACCCAATTATGGCTGTAGTAATAACCCAATTATGAGCCCCTTAAGTCCCCTACGTGTATTGTAATTGGGTAGCTATAGCTACAGTTATAGTTGGGTTGGACGTCCAAGTAAGTCGGCTTGTTCTATTTGCTACCCCTTGGAGACGAAGTCTGAAACAGTGGAAAGGCTAGCAAATGATGCTAGTTCCATCGAAGGCTCATTAGCGGTCCCACCATTCCGGAGCCAAGCAGAACCACGACAGGAATTGCGTCCGCAACAGACTTCACATGGTGGCTGACGCAGCCCAACACCACCATGCCGTAGATCAGCACGAAGCTCGTCAGCAACTGCCTTAACTTGACACTGCAAGTGGCGCGTACCCTGCAACGTGGCCAACAGCATGCTGCAATGGGTGCCAAGTTGCACGAAGCCTGAAGCGGATGGACTCTCAAGCACGCAAACGTGTGCTCGCAAGCACGAGTGGATGACCTGGCTTCGCCCGAGCATCGTGTAGAAGAGCCACACGCCCATCAGGGCGAAGATGGTGGTAGTCATGATCATGATCCACCTCAACGCATAGGCAACGACCACAATGGAGTTTTGCATCGAAAGCTCATGCATCCAGCAAGAGACCTCATCCCTGTCTAGAGCTTTACCACCATGACCGCAAAAGAGACCACTGCTGGAAATGTCGCATGACGCGAAAAAAACATGCCAGTCTCGAGCAATCCTGGTCTTGCTAGCAAACGAGATGACTGCTCTAGTGTCAAGGCAAGGTGCAAAACGACCTCTGGGGCGTCATAGCGAGTCAAAGCCGCTATGGCGATGGATTGCGTGGTGCCCGTCAAGGTCACGAACCTTGCTGGGCTGTTCCTTGCTACCGGACCTTGCTAAAGGCTTGATGAACTTTCCTAGAGGTGAAAACCATAAATTCTGCAAGGCTTAAGTCTGTGTAACTCCGGCAAGCTGAAGGCAGAGTTTAGGTAGCGAACGCAGCACTCATTTCGACTGGAACGATAGTTGCCTGGTATGCGGCGCCAACTACGTTTTCAGGAGCATGCAGCCATACGCATTTTCGGATGGCACTGCAACTTTTGCTCAAGGAAACCCCACGGCGGAAGCCGTCCACGACTTCAGCTGTGCAAAAGGCGGCATAACGATCACATCGGCGTTGTTTTCGCTGGGTTCTGGTCCTTGGTGCTCTGTGGCGTCATAACCGCTATTGCTATGGCTGGCAGCATCTTCGCCTAGCTCGTATCTCGTCACTTGTGTACGTGCGAGCCGTGACACCACTGCCCTTCTTGCTACCTCGTCTCCAAGGACACTGGCAGCACCCAAGCACTGCAGTGACCAAAGTGCTTCTCCGAAGACCTAAGGTGGCAACAGCTCGAGCAGTGAACACTCAAACTGCAGAACTCGGAAATATCGAGATGATTCCGCCTGGCTACCAAAACAACAAAGAGCGCACAGGCCACCAGCAACAGCAGCGCCGCATCTGGGATCTTGCTGGTCGGGCACTGCCTGCTCAAAGCTTTCGGTCACGTCTGGGTTTGCATCTTCCTGAGATCTTGAGGATCCTCTCTTGGATCGCAGTTGCGATGGATGTTCAGCTAACGGTGCATCAGGAATCCCATCTTGCACCCAAACAACACGTACCGACATGGCGAAGTTGCACTTTAAGTGCCATGCGACGCACACACACACACACATGGGGAATCCGGTCGTTGCCGGTTGTCACATCTCTTTTCACTCATTCACACAAAGCTTGACTCTTTCAAATGAGTCTGCAGGTACGTAGATCAGGCGTCCCTGATCTATATCCTTGCCTCATGTCAGTCAGCTTCGTTGGCAGAAGAAGTGACATGGGCACCTCTGCCCCTTGCTTCGTAAAACTATCGATTCTCTGAACACGAGCTATGAATCGAAAAAGTAACTACCAACTAGCTTGGAACGGAACTTCCACACACACGTACCCGGTCGAAGCCGGTTATTGCTCCATCCTGATGCTGATGGAGTAGGAGGAGGCCCGGGACGTTTCAAAAGAACATCCTCAAAATTATCCATTCTGCGTTTGAAGCGTTTGTACAGCTCATGGCATTGATGTTGAATGCTGAAGTACTTCTTTCTGGCACGATCTTCCCAGAAAGCGTGATTAGAAAAGTGCTGTGCAGTAGCTGAATCAAAAGACTTCTGAATGTGATCTACTTGCTCAATGAATCACTGAATCAAGTCGTTGAGCAGTCTTATGAATCATCGAGAGATGCTGGACATGACTCTCAAGCTCCGAAACTCTTGCAAAAATTGCTGAGTCTGAAGCAATCTCCGACAACTGCTGGAAGCGTACTTCACTCTCTGAAAGCTTGCGGTTGATTGCCCAGTAAAACTGCTGAATGTTGCGGTCATGGTTGGCTGTCCAAAACTCCAGCTGATCAAGACGATGATAAATGATGTCGATGGATGCAGCATCTCCTCTGTAGGACATGGCAATGGTATGTTCGGCTCTGCAATTAGAAGAAACGAGTTGAACTCTTTGGCCCGTAGAGAACACAGTAAATACATGATTCGAATATCCAACTAGGAGTACCGTTGCCAGAAATATTTGACTAGCCTTTCACAACCAATCAAAGCTCCGCTCAAGAAGCAATCCTGAAAAACCATCAAATCCTTTGAAGTTAAAAACTGATCGACTGGGCAAATTTTGCGTACAGAGCAGAAAGGATGATGTCGTTCGTCTTGGCTCTTAGCGGTCAGAGTGTTTGACACCACACTATCGAATTAGGGTTGTAGATGACCCTTTACTTGCCAAAACGGTCTTCTTGATTGCACACTTCGTTACAACACGATGCAGGCTTCGCATCTTGATGTTGGAGTTACGGGTCGACTTAGCATTTCGTTGAAGAAAGTGCGCAACGTCGGGGAAACTGCTTCCATCGAAGGGGTTGAAAACGAGTGCGTTGTTGATTCCAGGATGTACCCTACCACGAACCGGATGAAGTTGAGGTTTCCCACCATAAACGAAGGTTTTGATTGCCAGAATTCCAGTCATTCCATGAATCACCTCGCCAGGAGGCATCATGGTATGTCTCCGAGTTGCAGAATCTGTAACTCCACTCCGAATGTTCTTGCCAGTCAATCCAGAAACCGTCGGGCAGCTTGACGCATCCATTCTCATGGACCCACATAAGGCACAATCTAGGGCTTCGACACTGGGTGCACTTTAGTACCCTTGCAACATACCATCAGGGACAGAGAACGCAACGCAGTCGGTAAGTCTGGCACAGTGCAGCTTATTTGGTCGCATCAGGGAAAGCCTTGACTGAAGCTGTGAGAATGCAACAGGTCGAGTGGCAAATTTAAGGCTTCATAAGAACTTAATGTTAGTACACATGTACCCGTGCTCTCGGTCCTGAAAACCTGAAACGTCAAGCGAACGAAACCTGAACAGTCATCAATGTCGCAATTCCGAAGAGTCCGAAGCTACAGACGCTTTGCAATCACGTTTTCATAGAATCAGATGCAGAAATGTCGATCTGTCTAGGAAGAATGCTTTACTATCACTGTATCTCAAAACTGGCTGTTCACTTGCAGAGCGGCATTGCCAATCAGTACGAAGGTCGGATCAGCAGTGTTGGCTCGAGCACCACTGGAAACAACAAGTGATTCATCTGCAACGATTTTGGTAATTGTGATCATTGTCTACTTGCTCGGAGAAGAGTAACTCGATTGCTCGTCAAGTGTAAAGATCGAGGTAGCCAAAGCTTTGGTCGGTAGATCCCATTGCGATTGCCATAGCAGCGAGGCAAAGTCATTATTCGAACAAGTCAAGGTGAAAGATCAGTATAACAAAAAGTAGTTACGACAACAAGATCAACGAACAAGAACCACAAGGCCTGACAAGAACTACTTCGAACTACTTGGACCTGGCAAGACAAAGGTGCGGGCAATGGTGCATCGTTCAACTACGTTGTCAACATACGCGGAGGACTGGGCAACATCGGCAGTAAAATTGATCAGGAGGTCTTTGTTTTGCATGAGGCATACAAAGATATCTTTTTGCATCCAGGTCTCACGCCGGGCATCACCAGATATTTTAAAGGCGAAACTCTGGGGCGCGGGGTTATTCGTGAAGACGGCTGTGATCGCCCTATCCCTATCCTCAAGTTGACTCGCACGTTCCTGTAGGCGATTGCGTTCTTGATTTGTGACCTCAACAAAGTCGACCACTAGCTCACTGAGGTTACTTGATAGTGAGCTGGATCCATCCGAATCACCATTCTCGGAATTGGATTTCGGCAGCCAACTCATTGCGTGTAGGTCCAGCATTAGTCTGGCCGTTTCCATGTCTACCGAATTGTTCACAAAGGAACTCTGTCAACCTTCCAATTGAGCAAGACAAGCTACAAATCATCCTACCATTGCCCGACTCTCTGAAAAAGAGTATTGAGCTGCTGAAGCTGAAGTTGTTCAAGTTGGTCAGGCCAGACGTACTTGAGGACAAGATCGTCATCTGTCATCAGAAGTTTAAAAAGCTGGGAGTGGCGCGGTTTGTAAGTCAAACCCAAGAATTTGCATTGAGCAGCTCCCATCAACGTCCTGAAGCTAAACAGGATGCTCATAAAAGCCCAAGCTTAGAAATTCTGAAAGCGTTTGTATTGGAGGAGCTGCGGGCAGCCATCATTGAACCACGTTTTGTGCCAGGAGCATCAAGCTTCGGGAATACCAACTCGTAGACTGCAAATGGTGTTTGAAGGATTTGACACATCTGCTGCAGCGACTGTCCAACAAAACGACTGGCGGTTCTTCCAGGACTTTGTTTGAGGGGTACAGGATTGGGAGGAATGTAGGGGGGTAATCCACAGAAAGGCGCAAAGGCTACGAAAGGGAAGACGTGGGGCAAAGGGAAGCTCGAGAATGACCGTGTACGCCTGGAGAAATCCATGAACACAAAGCTAGTCATTGGCCTGTGAGGACTCATGAACATCCTCACCTATTCGCAGTAGTCAGATGCTGCCAATAAAAATGCCAACCATGATCACCTTCTGCGCAAAATAAATCGGTAGGCCGAGGTGAACAGCCCGATCTGGCAAAAGGCCTTCTCTTCTTTGGACAATTTGTCCAACGTACCATCAGCATCTTTATAGGGCTTGAACAACAATCGTCTTATGCGATCCTTGAAGAGGGAGTTTTTCAACCCACTTGTTGACGGCAGACTTGGTATGAGATGTAGGGGCCTGATTAGAAAAAGGACGGTTTGTCACCTCCTGAAGGTCAAGCAGTCCCTTGTTGAAGCTAAAGGAGTCGGAAGTTGCGGGTGAGGGCTGCTTGGAAGTCAATCGAGGTTTCTTTGCTGGCCCTTGACTGGAATTTCTTGCTGGAGGGTCAATTTGGGCTTGCGAAAGTTGGCGCTTCAGGGCAGCGATTTCACGATCCTTGTTAGCAAGACAATCAGTGTTCGCAAAACCTTCAAGGACTTTAACAATCTCTTGGATCAGCTTCGTTGATTTCTTGACTTTGGCATTGTCTGCCTTGCCAGCTTTGTCTACGAAACTACTGCTTGATGAAACAGTATGAAGCAATGGCTGTGAATCCTTGGAACTGCTGGCTGTACTAGACGCAGCACT